GCTTGAGGGTTGCATGTGGACCACCCAGATCCAGCATTTTTGCTGCTTGTCTTAGTAGAGATTAGGACAAAAACTAGAATACCCGCAAGGCCGCCTTCCCTCTTCAGTGCTGTCATTCGCGGTGCTGCACTGTGCAGGGAAAAGAAAGCTCCCTGCCAGCATATGAAATGCAACTAAGTTGTAGCAGGAGCCAAGTACCATCCGCAGCCCCTGTGCTTATGCAGAGTCCCCTGAAAATGGATGGCTGCATTACAGGACATTTCATTATTAATATATACAGGTAACTGAAATGGGATGGAAGAGGAAACTGAAGATAGGAGCCATTTTTGCCAGTGTCCTTGCATGATGTACTTCCCTTTCGTTCTGTTGAAAGCCATGGACATGTCCCAACACATGTATATATAATATGCTCTGGGAAAGGAGTATCACATGCAGATGTGTCTGTATGTAATACATGGTGTCTAGATACACGTGTTGGCAATGGTATGTGGTTCATGTTTTACCCTTTAAGTCAAGGGCAAACTGAAAAAGTAGAGGCCATCCTCTACATGTTTGTGGCCACATGCATACACAACAGTTGCCTGGAAGGCATTCAGTGTTCTATAAATATGTTTGTGGAAATATTTACATCCTTCTAGTATACTACTAGTGTAGAACTTGTATACTGTAGGAAGACTTTGTCTGGGGACGGCTCGTATTAGACAATGGCATTTGTTCTTCCATTGTGTTACTATGGCTCAAGATCAGACTATGTTGGCCGTTCTGCTTACATACTTTGGAGATTACTTCATAGCTTGCATTCCAACCAAGCCTCACAATCACAACCCCTCTGCCCCCACACTCAAATTTCCATCAGACAGATAAGTATGGATGTGAAAGCCAACACAGTAGAAGTTCAATCAACAAATAGTGCCTCAGCTTGAAAGTCCTAATTCAGAACTTTTTACACACATTCACGCAACCCCTAGGACTATTAGCTAAAGGCCACTGTGAAGCCATCCAGTTTTTTCCTCCCTCAACAGATTTTTTGCCCAAAGAGAACTGATAGAAGCAGCAGTGGAAACAGACAGGATGCGTGCAAATTGAAGATGATGTCATCTGGAGTCTTCTGAAAATCTGTGAATGAGGCAGGTGGATTGCACAACAAAAACCTAATTTGGGTATGTCCTCAACCACAGTATTATGGGGCAACTGTTTCCCTTTAGGTGGTATCTTACATCAGCAGTTACTCTTCAACCACTGGAGATTGTTCTGGACTAGAATGGGACAAGCAGACAACCTTCAATAAAGAATGCAATTCACCGAGTTTTACTGGAAGAAAGAATTTTGTTTACTGTGCACCTCAAACTTCCATCTAGAAAGCTGGTGCTTAAACAGTTCAAAGTGCAAAGTTTTCCAAGTGCAGAGGACAAATTGTTTTCCACAGAAAAATATTTCCAAGTTCAAACCCATGAGCTCACAAGCATTGATCGTTCCCAGTTAAAAAACAAACAAACAAAAAAACATTTTCCAAGGCTACTGTGCTACCATCAGGCCTAAAACAAGTCAAATATACATGGTTAGATTTTACAGTAAGTTGCTTGTACTGAAATTATGTGATTTGTTTTTGTAAGCTACCCTGAGATCTAAGACAGGCAGCAGTATCCATCCATCCATCCATCCATCCATCCATCCATCCATCCATCCACCCGAAATTATCTCCATCTGGCCAAGGTTTCCATCCAGTGTTTCTCCAATTCCGCCTTCCGTAGCCTAGCCTGGCCTGCTGCCCTCCAGAGACACTGGACATTCCCACAGTACCTGGCCTCATTCAGTCCCATTCATTCCAATAGGCCCATTCTAAGCAGGAGCAACATTGGATACAATCCAATTGTTAGCGGCTATGGCTTCTCTACTCCCTCAACTGGAAAGGCTTTACGAAGCGCAAGTGGGTGCTTCAGCAACTAGGCATCTGTTTCCACCACGGCGGTCCTGGTTTTCCCAGGGCTCTGTGAACCTAGTGATGCAACCCCCCCCCACCCCACCATTTCTACCAAAAAAGGGAGCATGCTTTTAATGTGCCGCTTTTGGCCCTTGCCACACTTACTGCTCTAACCCCACTGGGGAACCGCAAGACTGTCTCTGCAGCCAGCGCTGGCAGAATTGTGCTCCATGTCTCTCCGGTCACTTCTTCTGACTGCCTGATCAAAGAATGGCTTCGCATGAGAGCAGTCCCGTTTGATCAGACTGAAGGCTCATCGAATACAAGCATGCTCTTCCCACGGTGGCCAAGAGGGTCCTCATCTGAAGAGCAGCAGCCCCCACCCTGCTTGTGTTCCTGTACACAGTAGTCAGAAGTGTTTTACCCGTGACACTAGAAGCAAAGAATCCCAATGAGCAGGCACCATTGGCTCCCCGCTCCCCCATGAGCTTATCTAACCCCTTTTAAAGCCATCCAAGTTGGCAGGCATCACTGCATCTTGCTGTCGGAAATTCCAGCCACGCGCTGTGTGAAATAGCGCTTCCTTTGGTATGTCCCACCATTCTGCTTCCCCAGAGGACACCATGGTCGAGTTCCATGGCAGAGAGAGAAAAATGTCTCCCTACCTGCTTTCTCCAGACCAAGCATAATTTTATATACATCATGTGATCCCTCCCCACACCCCCCTCTCTTTTCCCATACTGAACAGTCTCAAAAACTGCCACAGAATTACCTGAACCCTCCCATCAGTTTGGTCAAAGCAGCCAGGCAGGTGCGGCAGAGGAAACTGCCTTATACCGAAACAGACCTTGATCCCTCTAACCCAACAATGTCAGCACTGACCTGCAGCAGCAACTCTTCCCAGTCCGACTATGGCGTTAACTGCTAGTGAACCTGAAACCGTCTTCATGCAAAGCACGTGCTCTGCCACAAAGACACTTGCCCAAAACTACCACTGGCACCATAACGCAACATGTGCTGTAGTACCCAAAGCCCCACACAGCACCTTCAAAGCAGGATTACTGGGGAATAAGCTTTCCCTAAGCCGTAGCTCACATCAGACCCACTGGATACACACATGGAGTCCCCACTGGAGCCTCAGGCCTGCTGAAAGGTGGTGTATATAATCTTTTACATAGGAAAAGTATCATTATTTATTTCATTTAAACCAAGTTAATGAGTCAAGGCAGTCGTCTGCATTTAACACACAAATTTAGAGCCCTGCACGTCGTGGATTGTTCTAAGGAAGTATTTTGTGCAGCTCAGAATATGCTGAAAATAAAACCTGAGTAGGAAAAGGTGGTTCAGGTAATGACTTCAGACGATTCATTTTGGCAGACTGCCTTTTTATTGCATGTGTACGGCTGTGGAATACAAAAAAAGAACCAACTGAAGAACTTGCATGTGGAAAATAACTGTTGGTCCATATGATTTAAAGTTACAGGATTCCAGTTTCAGCTTGACCATTAAAACAACAACAACAACCCTGCTTTACCATTTTTCTTGCCAAACAGAAGGGTTTCTTGAATCAAGAAAGGTCAGTGACAACCTTTTCTTACATAAAAAGGACAGAACACTACTTAAAATCTCATTGTAAAAAGGAAGTTACGTACAGTCGCTTTGCACTGACTCTAGGTCACAGGTTGACAGCATGCTTTTTCACCAGGAAAAAAAATATCATTTAACTCACCAATATGAAGATCAAGAGAGGTGGTTTGCCTGCTTGCTTGCTTTTTGGCAGGGAGATGGAAGACACCAACTGCATGATCAGCAATTCACAATTATACTTCAACTGAAGCATTTACTCCTTTGTGCCCAGTTTTGGGACTGTGTGTTTACTTACAGGGTGCTACTGTCAACCTACCCTTTTGCTAGGAACAGAAAGTATTGTTGCAAGCCAAGAGGTGTAAACAGTGAGATAAAGAAAAACCTAAATGTGGATATATGCATTTTTCTTTAAAACAGAACAAAAAACCAAGAACCCAAATCCTTTACAGAATACTTGTTTAGCATAGATCATTCACATCCGTATCATCCTGTACATTACAGAAATCATACACCTACACTTACTTTACACTAGCTACCTGTTTTTCAAAAGAGCTTTTCCTCCCCTTCCTCCACACACAGTGTACTTAAAACACATTTAAATACTGCTTTGGAAGTGCTGACATTCATTTATTTGGTCCCATTGATGCACAACCCAACAAGACACCTAACATTACATTTGGACACACAAAGGAGATGAAGGCGCACCATCCATCCATCATTAACCCCCTCTTCCTCACAGAATTCTTCTGAAGACATTTGATCTTCAAACTTTGCTCTAACACAAGTTGGACTGAGATAAAAGCCAGCCATGAATATGTCAGAGGCTCCCCCCTCCCCGCAGGCTCTGCATGCTGAGCCTCTGCTCCTGGAAGTCCTACTACAAACACCAGGCTAAGAAGATTCTAGTCCCTGGGATCTGGCAGCAACAGGAGCTCTCATTACCCTTAGCATGCTCTGTCTTGAGTATTGCATGCCACACCCAGCAACTTAGGCAGTGTGTCGAGAGAGAGAGAGAGGGCTTGACAATCCAGTGGAAGGACAGCCGCTGTTGAAAGCACAGTGTGGAAGAGGCAGATCACAGGCGGTGGCCCTGGGGCTACTATGGGGACTCTGCACACAGCCAAGAACACACTCAGTAGGACCAGAAGAACCGGAAAAGGGTGCACACCCCAATACCCACCGCTCCCCATGTGTCATCTCTGTGCTGACTCAGGTTTTGATGCACCGTGCATAAAATGCGTCCCATTGGATAGTCGCATCTCTAACTTGGCAAGGGCCATGTTTTTTTTTAAAGTAACCACGCTGGACAGACTGTTTGGGAAGAATCTTCCTTCCCACACTGTTCCCACGTTTGCCTGCAATATAATGATTTAGTGTTATCACTGAAAAGGAAAAAGTAACTGTTGAAAGCCACGTAATAACCTTTAAAAAAATAAGAAAAAGGAGGAAGAATGTACCTTGAATTAAACAATGGTGGCTAGTAAATACCGGGGAAGGAGGAAGCGTCTTTAATACACACACATTGTACCTTACTAATTTCTTGACATGGTCGTAAGACATCAAGACTATATACAATTGGATTGTTATTTTCCCCCAGGAGTCCATAGATAAGACAGAAGTCCTACTTTTCAGGAAATCTTTGTGCAAGAAAGCAGATAAGGGTTTTATTCATCCAGATTGACTTTGGAAAAATATAGTAGTTCCCAATGGCAAGGAGACAGAGGCTGAAACTCAGTCTTATGGCTTTTCGTTTCCCCCCCTTAAAATGCAGTGAGAACTCATGGTGTCCAGAGACAGAAGAAAAGTGTCTGAAGTTCAGTTTGTTCATGCATAGAATTCTTCCTGTTTGTGTGGTTTTTGGTAGCCACCATTGGATTGCTTTGGCTCATCCAGTGAGTAACTTCCTTCATCTTTTTTCTTCATTCTGTACAGCATGAACACAACTAGGGAAACAGCAAACAGCAAGCCTACTAATCCACCAGCAATGACCCCTGTGGAAAAGACAAAGATTCGGTTAATGTTTCCAGACTAGATAAAAGGTATTCTCTTCCTCCACGAGCAACCAGTGCTTTGAGCCATCACCTGGGCATGCCACTGAAAAGCTGTCCACATGGCAGAAGTCTACAGACTGCATCTGGACAGGGGAATGTGTGCCCCCTTCCAGATGCTGGGTTCTAATTTCCACGTGTTCTAGCCTGCATGGCCAGGGATGCTGGGAGTTGTAGTCAAGTATGTGTAGACCATAGGTTTTCCACTCCGCTCTAGATGACACAATCCCAATGGTTGCCTGTTGGGTCTACTTTTCCTTCAAGAATGGCATTTGCTCCTTCTAAAACACTCTCAGCCAAGCCTGGCCTTTTGCACACACTCTCAAGCTCCTGCAGGCTATAGGCTGGGAGGTCTGCAACTCACTGTCAGCCAGGACCTGCAAATGCACCAACTAGATTTCTGAGGTCCTCTTCCACTCCCCCGTTTTCCTCCCATACCTGTCCCCTGCCCCTGCAGCTGCCTTCTGCTGTGCTGTGCTAGCAGACTGCTGCCATCGTGCTTCCTCACTGCTGAGGCCGGCCTGGCAGGAGAACGAAGCAGCAGCAGAAGTGGCCACGGGGGGAAAACAGAGTGCAACAATGAGGGCATGAGGGCAGGAAATGAGGGAAGACCATTCTGAGCAGGAAGGAAGGGGAAGAGGAAGAGGAAGCAGGTTGGTCAGGAAAAAGGAAATCTTCCAAGGAGGGTCATTAAGAAAGTGTGAATCCTAAAAATAAACCCTGAAACTTACTACTGAACAAATGTGCCTTAGGCCTGGAAAAAAAAAACTAACAAGTGTGCCCTGAAAAGGTTGCCTACTCCCATTCTAGACAAAGTTCCAAGGAATTCTGGCGTGCAATTCAGTAGTGCAAAGGAAATTGTCCCATTTGAATGAGGGATGGAATGAAAGCAATACCTGGATATTCTCAGCAAGCACTACAGACATCAACCACAAAAATGCTATGACTTTAATCTGCCTTTAATCTACTACATGGATTGCCAACAATGTCTGCGCTTGACTTATGCATAGCCCTTTACCTAGCCCTTGCTACTGAGGCATACAGCTCCTGGTTAACAGACTCTGGCCTATCGGATCATGAACAATTATTACTGTTATGCTGATGTCAAAAGTTAGCTTGCAGCCAATTCATGCCATGACTACTTATATAGTAATTAAACCAAAAACATGCTTGCAGCTTAGCCACAGATATTAATATTACTGGACACCATACTAGGAGTGTCTTGCTTAGCAGTAGAGAGTATGCATGTGTGTGAGGAAAGAAGGAAAATCTAATTTTATATACCTCCTAGAACTTCTTTCCTGTCCATGATTCCTTGTGGGGCTCCTTCAGATTTTGAATCCTGTGCTCCTGAATCCAATTCTGCATTGCGCGATTCAGATTCATCTCTTATTACTGGTGTTTCATCAAGTATAGTAAATACAAAGTCTCCCTGTAAGGAAGAAAGATTACGTCATTTACATTTCTTCTCCCTCATTTCAGCAGGAACACATTTTCACACAATTTGCATATTCTGAAAGAGGGTAGTTCACTTAGTTTACAAGCTACCCTTACCAACATGCATTCAAGGTCTGCATTTAGACAGTCATAGTACCAGTCAATAGCACAGCTAAAGAGACTAATAGGTTAATTGATTAAGGCATGGTTATAAAAAGACAGACTCTGGGAGACGGTGAAAGACAGGAGGACCTGGAAGAATGTTGTCCGTGGGAACGCAAAGAGTCAGACACAACTTTGCAATTGAACAACAACAACAATGGTTAAGAGATCAACTTAAAGTAGCATAGACAACAGCATTTTATCTTCACCTCAGCACCCGAACCATCCTCAGATATTAAGACATTTTCAGGCTGAGAAGAGCTCTCTTCATAGACACTAGTGGACGCTGTAGTGGACACTGTAGTGGACGCTGCAGTGGACGCTGCAGTGGACGCTGTTGTGTGGCTACTGATACCTGGACTTCTCTCACTTGTAGGCACGAAAGCAGGACTTTGCTCTTCAGCATGAGATAGATAGTGCTTGTTATGGATGTCTTCAGGCTCAATGACTCCACCGGAGCTAGAGGCATGCGCACTTGTAACTCTGACTGTGGAATCAGGATGATCAATGACTGGGACCCCTGTTGTTTTCACTGTGGACCGTGTTGTTGCTTGCTGAGCAAAGGAATTCAGGCCATCCTCTTCAACAGCTACCACTGGCTTTTCAGGCATGAGATCAATTAATGGAAACAAGGTTGTGCTCATAGGAGGTACAGATACTCTCGTATAGTCTTCTACAGGACTGTGTGTTCCCAGAACCTCAGGCTGGTTATCTCCCACATCAGTGGACACTGCAGGTATCAAGGATGTATTTGTGCTTTCTCCTTTGGAAATCGCAGGAACGACTGAGGAAGAAACTGAACATCAAAATTCATTTAGTCGATGTTCTACAAGGGCACTGTATTAAAAGCAAGTTCAGCCAAGATTCTGAGAAATGCCATCCCATTCCCTGACCACTCAACTCCATCCAACAACCATCACACCCCTCCTTTGAAGTAAAACACTGATCACAACTAAACGCGCACAAATTTAAGCATACCTTCATCACCAGAGCCAGAAAAGGGATCTTCATCATCGCCAGATGAGTCCTGGTCTTCAGGAGGGAAGCTTGAGTCACTCGGTTGCTTTGGAATAGAAGAGCAAAAGAAATTTCAGGGTAGGCTCAGCAGATTTTACTAAACAGTAGCAAAATGTCCATTCTTTTGCTAGGTGGGGTACACATGGCATGGGCGCTTCCATATCACTGCACTCAGTCTCTGCCTGCAAGGGGGCACCACATATTTGTCTGTGCTTTCTACACAAAGATACAAGGCTGCCCTTGCTTGTAGCAAGAGCTGGGCACTCCAGCACCCTGGACAGAGGGCCAGATTTGTTACCAAGTGCAATGTTTTATGCATTCCTCCCAAGAGGGAATGGAGTACCTGAGGACACAACTGAAATCTCCTAGACCCTGCTGAGTAGGGTTGCAATGATCTTATTGGGAATCCTGCTCTCTTCGTGGTGTTTGGCTGTCTCATCAAGCGAACTGAGAGGAAGTCCATGAACAAGCAGCTACCCCAAGGTATGTGAGTGCGACGGCCGCCCTCCTGCCCAAGTTCCCCTAAAGACCCACATCTACCCTTCAGCCAGGCAGAAGGGTCAACTAGTTGCTCAGAATCAGAATTCTCTCAGCTGGAAATGGAGAGTGAGTGGAAGCGCACTCAGGAACAGCAAATTATATCAACTCTTGATATAATGCATATCAACTCTCTCTGGGCATACATCCTAAAAACAGGATGTTCTTTCAGGAACACTCATTTTTTGCTACATATACACAAATGTTATCCTTAGCATATGCTTTTGTCTCTACAATTCTACAAAATGTCCAATAAAATAATTTCCCATACTGCTTTGGAACATGTTTGAATATCACTTGTAAGCCATATTGTATGTTTAATAAATAAATAAAACATTCTTTCCCCCAAGCAAATATTTTAGTTCAAATATTTTACACATCTTGGAGAAACTGTTGATATATTTATCATGCACATAAAATCGACAAGGATTACATTTTCAGTTCCGTATAAGCCACCTTATACTGAAAGTGAATTTTTAAAAATGATTTTTAATTTTTTAAAAATTGTAAATGTACATTTTTCTTAAAACAAAACATAGGAAAGTGATCCAATTAAGAGCTTCTCTCAGTGAAACTGGGAGATGGAACAGCAGACCCCTACAAGCGCTCAAGTCTGGCACTCTAGAGGGGCAAGGAGCACCCTAGAGCCCAATCTGGAGGGAACAAGGAAATACAGGGACAGGAGAAATCCCTGTCAGGCCGGAAAACTCCCATTCACATAACACTGGGCTCCACCCCACATTAAATAGTCTAGGTACATGCACGTTAGCCCACAGTTAGCCTCTAAATGGAATCATTGCAATAATTGATTTAAAAGTAGCTTTTCCGAGTAAATGATGAATCTGACCATTTCTCAGTTATGAATAAGTACACTCCACTTACCAAACATATTTTGTTTTCACCTAATGAAAATAAATTGCTCTGGTCTTTCCAGAAACAATTTGTTCTTATTCCGATCAACCACAGGCAATTTGCTTTTGTTTGCAGTTGTGCTTGCGATGATGGGGCTATCAGAGTAAAGCAGAAAGGAGCAATAGGGAAAGAAAGAGAGGACCAAGCTGTCCAGTGCATTGGCCCTTGCGCTTTCCTATTTAACCCCCCAAATGGTCAAGGGTGCTGATCATAACACGTTCCCTTATGAAAAAGTTCACAGACATTCCCTCTTTGGGCAAAAAATGAAAGCATGCACAGCAGACACAGGGCAAGAGACAGGTGCAAGGTGCGGCTATAACCCCACAAGTGTGTAAACTATACTGTGGCTCACGGCCACGCAAGGTGATGCTCCTGCACACTAATGCACCCCCAGACACCTTCCCTGGAACCCCCCCAAGAGGCCCATCCCCCCCTTTTGTAATTAGCATTTTTAGCAGCAACTTCGACTACTGTGAAATGGCTTCAGCTGGTGCGAAAATTGTGGGTTCAAATGACCCCACCTCTGCCTTGCATTCTGTCTTTCAGGAAGGTCCTTTGCCATGGCTCAATTTATGGTGCTGCCCAGGCCAGTCTCCCAAATAGCCATTTGTATCCAGGATTGCTTATTCCTGCTCTAGTTGTAAATCAATGCAGTGTAGTGATCAGATCTGCACCACTGCTTAAGGATGTATGAAATAGTATCAGTAGGAAACTCAATTTCCATTTCTATTTTTCTTTGCTGATTTAAGTCTATCCACCTGCTTTGCACTAAAGAGTGTATAGAATTCAGTTTCAGAGCAGTTCTGGTTCATTTTCAAGTAAATATCACTCTTTCATTTCACTTAAGTTTCCCTGAAAGTTGTCCTTGACATACTAAGCGCTTTTCAATGTGTTTGGGAATTTTTTTTGCTCATTCTTACAAGTGTTTATGCAAGCACTCAAAATTCCAGAGAAGGCATAAAAACGGATATGCTAGTGACTTATGCACCCTTTCCTGACATTCAGCTTTTGGCATGGGGAGCCATTCACTGTTCCAGTGCAGAGAGAGCAGGAATCTCTTTTCTCCTCCCCACTTTGCATGATGCATGTGAAGGCATACAAGCTTCCTTTCTTGCAGCTTGGCTGGGATAGCATAGGCTGCTACTGTACCAACTGCATGAAAGCAAGCACTGCCCACAATACTACATATTTACAAGCTGGAAACAGACTGCTAATATGCTAAATTTGAATGGGAGTATGAAAGGTGCAAGCATCACCACTTGCATTTCTTGGGAGGTGGAAAGCTGTACTCGATGTCAGGCCATCAAATATCTGGCCCAGCAACAAGGTCATCACTGCTAGAGAATCAAAAACATCTTCTGCTCTCTGAGCATTTAAGGTACTTCCCAAAGGATGTTTTTATTACACTATTGTCCTACCTCATTCACAGAATTTTATGTGGGGGGAATGAAGTCATCTTCCACTCTAGCCCCCAACCTCCCTTTTTCCACCACAGCCTCTTTTGTCTTTTTTCCATAAACCGAAAAATCCACTGGATAAGGAAAGATGTGTAAGTTGCACAATGTTTTTCAACTGTTTGTGCTATAAGCCCACTGCCTGGCAGCACCCTTAAACTGCTAAACCACAATTCTACTCACAAGATAACTTGCTCTTTTAAAAGACTCTGGCTCCAATTCTGAGAGACATTAAGAACAATGAGTTCAGTCGTTTCTGAGCACCAATGAACGGCAGCTGGATACATCAACGGCTATCTGCTCTTTTTAACTACATATGGTGTTGTTGTTTTTTAATCAAGCAACTGGTAAGGCAATGAAACAACTTGTAAACGTTACAACTTGAACCCTGGACTAACTGCTTTTCATTCTATTTACTTTTAATTTTTTATGAGCTGCGTAATATCGAGTACTGTGCACTGTACTCAACTTCAGCCAACTGTGCTTCAAGCAGTTTTTCCAACTGCTTAGACAAATAAATGCATGGCTCTTGATGTACGTTGCTTATAACGCAGTAGCTGAGTTGAAGCAAAATGCTAGGCTGAGGTTCTCAGCGGACAAATCACAACCCACCTCAGATGCATGGCTGAAGGTTTTGCTTCCCGAAGGAACAAGTTGGGTGAGAGCTGTAGATGGAAGATTGGCAATAAGCATATTGCCGTCGCTTGAACCAAGCAGGGCAGGCAGAATGAACTCCACCTGTAGAAAATTGCTGGGCTGAAGGCTGCCCCATGGGGAAAGAAAATCTATGCCTACAAGAACTAGTACACAGAAGACAGCACAATTAGCATTCCTCTCTACAGTATCCATTTTTTCTTGGCACAACCACTTTAAAGCAGAAGTGCCTTCAGTCACGAGATTCCACACCTGTAGTTCAAAGTGATACTCCAAAACTAGGCCAAATATCATCTATTCAGCTATTAGCATAAACCTAGGTTTGGTTTATGCAATGCCATGGCATTATTTTTGCTTGGCTGCAACTCCACTGGGCCTGCCTCCTACACCCAAAACATTTGGACACATGGCTGATCAGACTCCAGGACGTCCTTGGCAGGGAGACACAACGCAGTTTACATGCTGAATCACTGCTACCTCTCTCAGTCACAGCAAGGCAAGCAGGAAATCCTTTTGCAGACAAGGGAACTCTTGTAATCAGTGCCCAATCAAAGAGAGGGATTATTTTGTTCAGACAACACCCACCGCTCATGGTCAAGGCTTTGACCTGACTTTTCATCTTTCTAGGTATTTCCCACGGGAAGGCTTAAACCCACTGCTTAGTCAGTTACAGTGGCCAGACAGCATAACCTATGAGAAAGGAAATGCATCACAGCAGAGGTTTTCTATTCAAGCCAAGAGGAATGTTTACAGCAAGCATTCAGTGCAACCATTCCTTAAAACCATAACTTTGATTAGCACGATTAAGGCAGCAGAAGCCAAGGAATCCTGGAGTGGCCAAAGACATTTTCCTGGAAAAGGACAATACCCTGAAGCTGACTGGACCAGCAGGTGATTTTTTTGCTCCATGTAGGGATGAGACAGCATCTTCCATTACACCTGAGTGCTAGGCACAGGGGTGGAAGAAGCCTGAGTGATATGCTCAGATCTATCCCTTTGACATCACTGTTGCTCTCCCTGGTACTTCCTCAAATAAATGCAGCAGTGTGGTACCAGTGCTGGCACAGGTCACATGAGTAGAGAAACAACAGCGCAAAGGCACCAGGTTGGTGCCTTTCTCCCACTAATTCAGCCAGAGGGCTTTCCCAGCAGCACTGTCTGTCCTGCTTCGGAAGAAGGCCTTTAGAAGGGACCGCCAGGCAACACAAGCCAACAGCAAATACACATCTCTGACTCAGGAAGGAAGGGACCACCACTAGAGGATGGCCACACAAACCACAGCGTATTCCTTTACACCTCACTCTGAATTTAATTGAGTATCTTGTGTAATACAGCCAATGTACAGGGCAAAATACTTCTGTGGTTGCACATTTCCTTCTCCTGACCTCCATCAGGATGACTGATCAGCTTGGAGAAGGTTTGGCATATTAATACTCCCAGAGCTGTAGCCTTGGAGCCTCTTTCTCCAACCAGGATCACAAGGGTGATT